CTGAAGAACGCTCTGAGCGATTCGTTGAACGCTGGCGTTGAGCTCCTCCCAGGTAGTCGAGTTGTTGATTTGGATTATGCTGATGATATCGTCTTGCTGGGTGACGATCCACAGGTCGTCCAACTTGCATTAAACCGCTTGGCGATTGAAGCATCAAAGTACGGTATGTACTTTTCACCATCCAAATGCAAGGCTCTCCTTCAAGACTGGCAGATGCCTCTGCCTGCACTCACGCTTGCTGGTGAGACACTAGAGGTTGTGGAGAGCTTTGTCTACTTGGGAAGCTGCATCACTATTGGCGGGGCTGTTGGAGACGAGATTTCGATGCGAATCTCGAGAGCAGGCCTCGCTTTTTCTAAACTGAGGCACTTGTGGCGTCGCCACGACATTCGTCTCTCCACCAAAGGGCGGGCCTATTGTGCAACTGTTTGTGCTGTACTGTTGTACGGATGCGAGACCTGGCCCATTCGTAAAAATGACTTGCGCAGGCTATCCGTCTTCGAGCACCGCTGTCTGCGGTCCATTGCCAGTGTGTGGTGGCAGCACCACGTAAGCAATGTGGAAGTTAGACAGCGTGTCTTGGGACGTGGAAGCCACTCGCTCGAGGAGCTCATCTCACTGCATCAACTGCGGTGGTTGGGACACGTATTGCGCATGCCTGTCCAACTTTACCACAGTCGTGCGTTGTTTGCACTTGCTGGACAAGGCTGGAAGAGACGGTCTGGTGGACAGCCTACAACATGGAGAAGCCGCATGAAAAAGTTGACGAAACAGTTGGCCTCGGCCGGTTGTTGTCGACTACCCGGTTGGGGTCCGAGAGATGAGGATACTTGCTGATTGAAGACCTTGGAAGTTATGGCTCAAGATCGATGTCAATGACCGGACGTGTGCATCGGTTTGTTGCAATGTCCCTTCTTCCTCCCCCTAAAAAAAGAACAAACTGAAAAAAATGTCAAAAACTGCGAGTGGTAAACTTAACAAAAAAGCATTTGTTGTTGCTCTTTTCTTATTATTCATATTGTTTTCCTATTCAGCCATGATTCCGATGGCACAATATCTGTACCACAGATTGTGTATAATATATATATATATATATATATATATATATATATATATATATACACATATATATGGTCTCGTTGGTTTTGGCCACGAATGGAGTTCCGTCTTTACTGGTGCGCTTGAAGCAGCAGCACACTTGTGGCAACTTGCAGCCATTTCTTCCAGTTGATTGTCCATGAATGGCCAGTATACCAAGCTTCGGGTAAGCGCCTTCATCCGGTTGACCCCAGGGTGTTCTGCATGGAACTGCCTTAGTACGAGCTCTGTAGTGCCTTGGGGATGACAACACGTTCTGAGAACAACATGCACCCGTCCAGGATGGAGATTGCATGCCCCCTTTGGTAGTACTGCTACGATTCGGCTGATAAACGTGTAGGTGGCCGACTTGTCCTGTTGAATTGTGCGACCATTTGGAGTAGAGGGTCACGAGGCATTTCACTTCGTACAGCTTCTGCAGTCACTGGTAGGTCACGTAATGAGCCACTTACACGAAACCTGACGTCCGGTTCAAGCTCAACTGCGGCTATGATCTAGTCTTTTCTTCATCTTGCTGATGGGAGTCTATGAGGCGTGATAGTCTGTTCGCTTGCCTCATGGACGAGGTTGTTTTGCAGCTGATCTCAACATCATAGCACAGCAGAGTGAGTGCCCAGGGTTGGAGACGGTTAGCCGTATAGGCAGCGATGCCCTTCTTCAAGTCCATCGTCAGCCATGGTTTGTGATCAGTAAGTAGTTTGAACCGGCGGCCATATAGCATCTTATGGAATTTCTTCAGCCCAACGATTATGGCTAATGCTTCCTTTTCTATCTGGCTATAGCTTATCTCGATTTTGGTCAAAGTTCTGGACGCGTGAGGGATCGCTTTCTGGGATTCACCCGGGTACAAATGCGAAATAACTGCTCCGATCCAGTGATTCGATGCGTCAGTTGCGAGAATGATCTGCTGACTCAGGTCGTAATGAGTCAGCAACAAGTCTGAAGTCATTAATGATTTGATTCGTTCAAGGGTAGACTTGCAGTCTAGCGTTCAGTTCCAGGCGTGGTCTTTGGCCAGAAGTTTGTTCAGTGGGGTACGCAGGCGATGTAGCTCAGGCAAAAATGCGCTGTAGTGACTGAGTAGACCACAGAATGAACGCAACGATTGAACACCTGCTGGTGGACGCATTTTCCTTGTGGTTTCGATATTTGTCGGATCTGGTTGACGGCCATTCTTTTCAAGGATAAAACCAAAGTAGTTGATGGTCAGAGTGAAAAAAGTACACTCGTCTTCAGGAATCCGGAAAACAATACGATTGGATAGGACCAAGCACCTCGTCCAAGCGGTTAAATAATTCCTCCGCTGTTCGGCCTATTACGATAATGTCATCCAGATATGCTGCGGCTCTAGGAACTCCTGCTAGCATGGCATCCAATAGCTGTTGAAAAATGGCTAGTGCCGTTTCTACGCCAAAAGGCAAGCGGTTGTACTGGTACAGCACACGGTGAGTGTTGATCATCAAAAGGCTTTTTCGAGTCCTCGTCAACATCTACCTGAAGGTATGTGTCAGACAGGTCAAGGTTGGCAAAGCACATAACACTATTCAATTTTGCGAAGATGTCTTCCGGTAATGTCTATGGGTATTGGAGGTCGTCGAGCACATTGTTCAAACCGGTCGATAAACCTGTGCAGATGTGTAGTTTACCACTTGCTTTCTTTACTGTGACAATGGGTGCGGCCCATGAGACGTAGTTTGTAGGTGTGATGACGCCGGTTCGTTCCAGCCGTCTGAGCTCTTTCTCAACAATTGGCATTGCTGCATACGGTACAGGTCGTTTAGCTTCATAGATTGGCTTTGCTCCTGGTCACAGGGACAGCGCTGCAGTGAATCTGGTACAATGGCCTAAGGCATCCTAAAACACAGGGCCAAATTTTTGTTTCAGCATACGTTTCATCTCTTCGACCGAGTTCGTTGATGCGTTTGGATTCGCTCAAATTCTATTGCGAATCTGATTCAGTGAAATATCGAACAGTCGTAAATTTTCAATCCAGTCTAGCCCAAGATGGTTCAAGTTTGGCCTATCTGACATGTAAACCGTCCGTTTCTTCCACACCTTTGAATGCCATTGTGTAGATAATTTCGGCAATTAAGTCGAGCACACCTCCGGATACGTTGTGGGCTATTCTGTGAGACTTGATAATTGTTGGTCTCTTTATGTGATTATAAGTGTTTCTTGAGATGATTGTGATGTCTGAGGCCGTGTCAAATTGCAGCCTCGTTGGGATACCGTTGTTTAGCAGGATGATGAATTGTCGTTAAGGCTTAGGTTTACTTTGAAATGCGGCAATTACCAAAAGCGATTCGGCACCATGTTTTCGAGAGTTCTTCGAAGGGTAGAACTTCTTCGTGTTCTTCGGTCAAGCCTGGATGTAATAGTCTTCTTTATGGCCCCACTTACGCACTTTCCGCAGACGTGATGTTTGAATGAACAGTAACGCGAAAGTGCTATTCCGTCGCACGACCAGCAGACTGTAGTTGATTTGTTCGGGGCCGTCTTGGACGGTTTCATTCTGATAGCATTCCTGGTATTTTTCACAGCGCGAACGGCATCATATAGTGCAGGGCGACATTGTGCGATCATGGCAGTGTCGTGCTTCAAAGTGAGCAATCGCTTGCATTCGCCAACAGGAGCCTTTAGTGTCAACTTAGCAAGAAGCCTCGTGCGAATCACAGCATCACAAGCGGACTGCAGATCCCTGACGAAAATGAGACAATCAAATTTGTCGTCCGTCAAAGATCATAGCCTGAAACGCTCACACTCACGGTTAACCATGATGCTAGTGTCCCATAATCGTTCATTTAAGGTTTGACAATCTGTAGGTAATGATAACGAATGCTGAACAGAGAAGCTGATTCATCAAATAGTTTAATGAGCTGTGACACCGCTTCGACGAAAGAAAGGTCCTTTGGTTGGTCAGGCAGAATATGGTGGATGAAGCTTGAATGTTCGCTCGTGCCGAGCTTACGGAGTAACAAACACACTTTCCAGTGATCGTTCTGACGACTGAAGTCCGTCCGGAACATTACTTCCCAGCGTTTGAACCATGCTTCAAAAGTGCAACTGGAATCTGCGTCATACTAAAATTCACTGCTCGCATAAGTGAGAAGATCAACAGAATTCGCCTGCGTTTCCCGTGCTGCTACTCCTGCAGACTGCAAACTCGAGCAATTCGTCAAATTGTCAATCATTCTCATTTGAGCTTCCAGTTGTGATTGCTGTTGCAAAAGCAGCTTCTGAAATTACGCAAGGGAAAAATTCATCACGTTTCCAGTTATGTGCGTCGCCATGCGTTAAATCTCATTTGCTGCAATGCCGAAAGTTGCACTTAACCTACTACGCAGGATCACAAACCCAAATGAAAGGGAAAAAAGTCAAAACGAACTTGTCCAAAAACAACGTGTTAATCGCAGTCAAACTGGAATTGTACAAAGGCGGCAGACCACGGCCATATACATAGGTCGCTTCATGCCCATCGACTTCTAGAATTAGGCCAACTACCAAAATCAGCCGTGCCACGCCGATCCAACGAATCTTTAGGAGAGCGTCAGTCAGGTGCGGGTATTGGAGCATTTCAGCAAGTTCGAAATCGATGCGATAGTCGATTGCAATCGAGGAACTATGGAAATAATGGTTTTTCCAGATAATTCTTACTTTCGCCCGGACAGTATTTCCAAACTCGAGTTGTTGCCCTGTAGCGGATCAACAAAACACAGCCCAGCGAATAGCATGCTGTGTCAAAAAGGATGCGTAGACAAACACAATCACCGACATAAGGAGAATTAATGTAAGGGCGTGATCACACGTGTATAAAGATGTGCCGACTATGGACGCAATCTCTCGCACAACTGAGTAGCACAGCTATTACAAGAAAGTAATAGAGTGATTTGCGTGGGACTCACTAGTATATGGCGGTCACGCGGCAGAGGTCCGGAGCAAGGCAATTCCAAAAAAGCGCCCAAGCACTCACGGAACAAGCGAGAAGGGCCTTCACAGGGCGATGATGCGACAAAGGAGGATTGCCCACATGTTCTTTCAAGGTAAAGTAACCGGGGCGTGTCAGACAAAGCTTGGAAACCCAAGGGCCCAACGTCCAGTTCCGGGGGCAGGCCAAAGAGGCAGGGCGGGAGACTTTGCTCGCTCCGGCAGTCAACCAAGCCGGATGATATGAGAGGTAAACCTTAGATGAGAAAAAACCTATTAGCAGGGATTCGATGTCGCATAAACCAAAAAGATGTATGTGTAAGGAGTAAGAAAGAGTGGATTGGAAGTCGAAGACTAAAGAAACATTTCCACAGGAAGCAAAAGCAATTGTTGAAGCATAATAGCAAGATGGGCGGCGACTAGTCAGATAGACCTCAAGTAGTAATAACAATGCCTGAACAGCCACAGGTCGAGCATTTGTAACTCACCAGGCTCTGAGAACGAGTGGGGATACCATAAATGCAATCTACGTTCAAGACTGCGATGGACCAGAACGTGCTGACTGCCAGGAGATGTAGACTGATGAGGACCAGAGGTTAAAGCGTGGCCGAAGCTGTGAACAAGCGCGAAAGAAGCGAGCTGGCGAATCTCCGCCTCCGGATCAGATAACAGACGCCATGTTTCTACCCAAGCCAGATCAAACAAGTGAGCAGGCCGCGATATGGTCTAGACAAAGGGAAACATAAATGCAAAAATGAAACGAGTGAGAATGGATAGAGGAAAGCGAATAAATCCGCTGGATTTCATTATGAAAGTGCAGACAAGGATCCAGTTCGAACTGGAATAACTGGAATGCGCTACTCAGACGGGTAGTGGTCGGTGGCCACATCGGTATTTCGGAAGCGTTGCGGATTCCCGATGCGGTATGCAAGAACCCGCGGTTGGTCTCATGATTTACCGCCGCCAACGTCTACTCCGGAAATGGATTCCCGCTTGATCCGTGGCTTGAACAGAGTAACACGCACTAGGTACAGCCATATTCTCATCTCCGGGGACTTCAATCTACACGATCTGGAGGTTCCGGCATCACCCAGTGAGCAGTTCAAAGCAGACTTGTATGAACTGCTCGCTAATATTCCCTTGTACAATCATGTCACCACGCCCACTAGATTCAGGAAAGCAAACAAACCGTCCATATTGGACCTTGTGCTCACGAATGAGGAGCTCATGGTTGACAAGTTATTGATGGATAGTCCATTAGATCTTAGTGACCATGTAGTAATAACGTTCAACTATGAGTGTTATGCAGAGTATCTATCTGAACACTAGGAACTAACTCATGCAACCACACGCTACAACGTATTGAAAAAACTCGCGAATGCAGCTGCTTGGGAATTCTAAAACAACAGTCCCCTTGAAAACGTTTGGACAGAATTCGTTGATAAACTCAGCGACATCATCAACAAAGCATCAGGGATTAAGCCCCTTCGTCCCGCAAAAATGCCTTCAATTCTAAAGAGCAGGACTCGAAAGTGCCTGACGGTAGGGAATGCAGCTTGGCGTCCCTACAAGATTAATCCCGACTCAGAGACTTGGGGAAATTTGCTGACCCATCGCAACCATTGCACTGTACTTGTCCGTGAGAACAAAGTAAGTTATCAACAGTGCTTAGCCAAAAAATTCTTGGCAAACAACAAACTGCTGTATAGGAATGTCAATAATCTTCGTAAAGTGAAGAATGGAATCTCTCTACTTTTCACGACAGGCGATAGAGTACAAAGCGCAGAAGAAGCAGCTAATGCCCTGCGGCTACAATACGTCCCAATTTGTAAATTCGCAACCTCTACCCGTCCCATAATATCAAGCACATTACCGACACCTTTGTTTACGAGTGTAATTTTCAACCCATCAATTGTGCTAAGGTAATTACTCTCACTGCGCGATCATAGCTCTCCGGGAGCAGACAACATCTGCCCGAAGGCCCTGAAGGCTGCGGCCAACAAGCTAGCTGAACCACTGTCACATTTTGACCCAAGATGCTTTGATGAACAACAAGCCCCCACTATGTGGAAGCGTGGCATTAGCACCCCAATTTTTAAAGGCGGTAGCCGTTCAGATCCTGCAAACTATCGCCCAGTGACTCTCCTCCCTGTGCTCGCGAAGGTGATGGAAACGGTCATCGCTGAGGCTCTAATGGACTATTTGGAAAAATGTAACAGCTTGGCACCGGAGCAGCATGGTTTCCGTCAACACCGATCAAGCACCACCAACCTACTGATTGCACTAGGTGGTTGGATAGAAGTGGCTGATGATGGGGTCGGAGTTGACGTCATCTATCTGAATATCTCCAAAGCTTTCGACCGCCTTGATCACCGCATCATACTTCACTGACTACAGAGTTAGGAATCGGAGATCCTGTAATTGGTTGAAATGGCAACTTTCTTCACCAAAGGAAGCTTCAAGTACGCTTTAGGGGGTCACTCTCTAACCTGATTTAGGTGGAATGTGGTGTGCCACAAGTCTCAGTGCTGGGACCGCTCTTCTTTCTGGTCTTTGTCAACGACCTGGCAAGAGTTATCTAATCAAATTTCCTGCTTTTCGCCAATGACGTCAAGATACGGAGGGCGATTAGTAACAATGAAAATCACGATATACTCCAACATGAGCTAGATTGCATTTATGAATGGTCAAAGAGAAGCCTGCTTCAGTGGAACACAGCTAAGTGCAAGGTGATCCATTTGTGTCACCAGCCGATGAGCGTTTACAAGCTTGGAGACCACACCTTGGAGAAGGCCGTTCAGGAGTGTGATCTGGGTGTATTGGTACAGGAAGATCTCGGGTGTCCGAAACAAGCAGAGAAGACGACGAGAACCGGAAAGCAACACTTCGGCCTTCTTCGCAGAGCCTTCGGTCAGTCTGAACTCTCAATCTTTCCCCAAATGCTTAACGCCTAGGTGCGATCGCACGTGGAATATGCTATTCAGTCGTGGCACCCATCACAGAAACAGGATCTCCTTCCTCTCGAGACTCCTCAACGAAGAGCAACCAAGAACGTCAACGACCTCTTTCATCTGCCCTATCAGCTTAGAGTGAAATCTCTAAGAATGTACAGCAGGCGATATCGGCTGCTGCTGGGGGATCTCATAATGGTTTACCGGATTCTGAAGAACCCAAATAACATTTACCGTCCGCTGCTGGAATTGAACCACAACACTAACCTAAGAAGTCATTCTCTGAAACTGACAATACAGTATAGCCGGCTTGAATGCCGTCGAAAGTTCTTTTCGCTCCGCGTGTGTCAACCTTGGAACGCCCTCCATAATTATATCATCTCCGATCCCAATCCGGCGATATTTAAAGAACGAGTTGAGGATGCGTTGTCTCATTTGCATTTCATTTTATGAATTGTTAGCAAGGGGCTACAAAACGCTATCAAACGGTGTCTTACCAAACTCCCGCTATTCTACATAAGTCTATGGTGAGCCCACCAAAACGCATTCCACATTATCATGCAATTTACTTTCTGCAATAATTTTCATCCCACCGGACTCGTTAAGCATTGTTTTTTTTGACCGTGATACACCATTGTTCCATTTCACGTGCCAATTTTGCGACATATCCGTATGGGGTTTTCGACCTATTTTATTGGTTACTTCATTTCATGTGATTGGCTGTTACTTGACATCCCAGGTGGGGCTACGCTTGATGTGCATGTTGACAAGGTGCCTACCTGTATAGTACACACCACCTCGTCTATACTGGCTCCAGGAGACAGTGGGTTGTTGCTGGAAGGGGGTGCACGGTCCTTGTGGCTGTGCTACACTTCAAGAGTGGTTCAATGTACTCAGTGTTGAGCGGACTACGGTCCAATTACCGCCTTGTGGGTGTTTGATTCCCCAACAACAGCGCGCTTGTCTTGGCCTGTGAAGGAGTGTGAGTCAGCTCTGTTGATGAAATGTGGTTCCCATCCGCATGCCACCTGCTCTTATTCCTTCGGGTTTACACTGGATATGGGGTGTATGGATGGAGCAGTGGGTGGTGCAGCGCAAACCACCCATGGTCCCTCTGTAGGCGCAGGCGTTCAGTGGAGACCACAGTGACAGGCGAATCCAGGACCAGATTCCGCCAACTATAGTATGAGTGGCTCCACTGTTCGCGACTAATATTTTATAGATCCCTACCCATCCCCCGTTCCGGAACTGGACTTGATAAATGAGATGGGCTATGCCCAAAGTTCACATGAGCGACTGCGCGTTCTGTGACAAAGCGTACACATTTGAAGGAGCGCATTCTCATGTATCCCTCAAAGATCGGAGTGTGTCAAAGCGAAGTCGACTTACAAACATTTGGGATGGCCTAGCACATCTGCCCGAGAAGATGGGGACACTCGATCGGGCATTTGGTACTGATCGCTTGACAGATGCAAGTCACAATACCTAGACGAAAAAGGAGTGGGCTGAACCGAGCGCATCGAGTGAAGGGCACGCGGGCGGCTCAGTGAACATAGACAAACGATACAAGACGAGACATTATGAGATAATCAGTGAAAAGCCGCGTTAATTGAATAGCGCTCCAAGTTTTCGTACAGCATAAATGACTCTATGCTTCGTGAGCATCAGAGTTATGATCGCTGACCAGACTCTGTTTTGATTCTCGAAGTTAAAATAAGCTTTACACATCCGGCAGGGAACATTTGCAACATTTTACACTGCGGATGTAGTGAGGTAAAACATTAGCATGAAATTGCGACAAAAGCGTAAAAATAAAACACACATGTACATCACTTCAAGTGAAAGTTCACGCGTGGTGCTGCGAAAATTGCTTGGAGTCCACAAGAAAATGGGTTAAATACGATAAGACAGAGCTATGATAAGATGGGCGAGAAGACAAAACCTGAAATGTAGAGCGGCTAGACGAACAGAAGAGAGATTTAGAGAAACCATCGTGGGGATTGAGTAGGGTGATACAAGACATTTGATGAAAAATTGTCACATGCACAAGAATGCTTAGGTGACGGTAAAGTCAAACAGAGACTCGACGGGCAATCAACTACACCCGAAAATGAGCTTAATGGAACGCTCAATCAGTGTGAAACTCTTCTGCAGACGACCAAGTAAAATGATAGGTGTGCAATATGGCTGGTGAGAAGAAATACAGGCGGTAACGAGTTTATAAGCTAAAGATCAGAAAGCATTTTGACTCTCAGGGAATAGAATGATAACTTTTATACCATGCGGAGCATTTCGTCAAAGTGTGATTATGAGAGAAGTATAAAGCGAAATTGCAAACCATCTAATCAACTCCGGTCACCAGATCAACAAACATAGTGGCTTCCAGACTCTATGCAGAATATCGCCTATGCATAGCCATCGAGTAAGAGCAAGCCTAGTTATCAATGCGGAAGCGGTGGGCATACGGTTAACACGCCCCGACCTGGGCGTTTAAAAAAAACATGGCAAACAGTACAGCTGCCGTGGCCGATCATCAGGTGGGAGGTAACTGCACTCTGCAAGATCAGCGACCTTCAATCATGCAGTTGGGTGATCGGCATAACGATCACAATTTAAATTACAAATAAGTAAATAAATCTGTTTAATTCTCGACTGTGCGAGACACGGCCCAGTAGGTTGGTCCGATCAAGTTGTACAAGGGTTTCGCAAAATTGTTTACGGTTCAGATAAGTGGAAAATAGAACGCGTGGAGAACGCGTCATTTACATGGTCAGT